CGGGCGCGTCGCCTGCTGCTGCTGCTGCTGCTGCTGCTGCTGCTGCTGCAGTGGTCGAGGGAACGGGGCGGATCGTGGCCACGGGAGAACTGGTGCAGGGCTTCAACACGCAGTTCCGGCAGCAAATAGAAGCAGGAGATTTGCTGCTGCTGCAGCACCCGCTGACTTTGCTGCAGGAGGAAGTGCTGGTGCAGCGTGTGGGGTCGGACCGCACGCTGTACATACAGCCGAGCTTCTCGAAGGACTTCATTTCCACCACGGAGTTCAAGATCAAGAAGACCGCTGCTGCTGCTGCTGCTGCTGCTGCTGCTGCTGCTGCGGGGGGGGGGCGCAAGCGCAGCAGGAACGCGCAGGAGCCGCACGCCGAGGCGGACCCTGCTGCTGCTGCTGCTGCTGCTGCAACAGCAGAGATGCAGCGCAAGATTGAAAAGGCAAAACGAGTTGCTGCAGTCCGCGAAAAAAAAGGAATGTGGGGCTACACTGTGAAGCAAATCAAAACCAAGGGGCCCCTCACAGCAGAAGAGAAGCTGGACCTCAGGTGCAAACAAGGCAGAGACAAGTTCTGCTGGTAGCTGCTGCTGCTGCTGCTGCGGAGGCTGCTGCGGAGGGCGCGGCGGTGAGCGCGGCGGCGCGCTGCTGCTGCTGCTGAAAGCTGCGGCGGGGGACAGGCGCCGGGAACACCCGGTCGTGCAGCAGCAGCAGCAGCAGCAGCAGCAGCGACTGCTCTGCCAGCAGCAGCAGCAGCAGTTGCTGCTGCTGCTGCTGCACAGGTGCCGCGGGGCTTGCTGCTGTTACGTGTGCGGCCCTGCGTTAATAGGGGGTTGGGCGGCCCTACAGCCGCACAGCAGCAGCAGCACAGCAGCAGCAGCACAGCAGCAGCAGCACAGCAGCAGCAGCACTGCAGCGAGGGGAAGGGCCCCGCAGCAGCGCTTCTCAAGGGGCCCCCAAAGGCCCCTTAAGGGGCCGCCCAGGGGGCCCCCTAGGGGCCCCCAGGGGCCCCTTTTTGGGGCCCCGTTGGAAGACCTTTTTGGTCGTCTTTGTATTTTATGCGGCACTCATTTGTTGGGTTTGTTTTTACTTTTGACGAACTGCGGCGCCCTGAATTGTGGCCGTTTGTCAGGTCACAGTGTTCTGCTGCTGTTGCTGCTGCTGTTGCTGCTGCTGTTGCTGCAGCCTTTGTTGCAGCTGTTGCTGGAGCTTTGTTGCTGCTGTTGCTGGAGTTTGTTGATGCTGTTGCTGCAGATGTTGTTGCAGCTGTTGCTCCTCGCTGCTGTTGACTACTAGTTTGTCTCAAATTTATATAAAGCATTTGAAAATGGAATTAAAAAGAGGGGAGCAGATGAAGTGAATGGGGGCGAAGTCAAACAAAAAGAAGCAAACGCCTCTGCGAGGCGCTGCAGTGTATGTACACCGTACGAGCTTGTCGCCGCCGCGACGCATCTTTGTCGCTATTTTTTTCGTTTTCTTTTATTGTAATTACATTTAAATTCTTCGTTTTTAGTTTTTCTGTTCATTTTTATGTTTGGTGAGGTAGCGCTGGGGTAGGATGGCTTCAACGCAGTGTACTGCGCGGGCGAAATAGCAGAGTGCCTCTTTGCCATTATTTCTTTGTTTTCCTCCGAATCTTCGCCCGCTGCTATTCGCGCGTGCATTTTAGTTTGATTTAACGGTCTAAATACCCTCTTTTGAGGCCCGGGAGCCCCCAGAGAAGAAACAGAAAAAAAGACAAGCTGCATGCTGTTCAGCCGGGGGCTTCGGCGGTCGCTGCTTTCGGGTGTCTCGGCGCTTCTGGGGTGTATAGCCACCTCCACGAAAAGGCTTTTCGGCATTTTCTGCTGCTGCGCTGCAACAAAAGAAATAAAATACATTTGAGGAACTCTACAGCCCCGCTTGCTTGGCCCTCGCGCTGCAGCTGCCGCGCTGCCGCCGCTGCAGCTGCTGTACAGACACCCCGGCGCCTCCGCAGCCCGAATCCAACTCTTATATTTGCTGCTGCTTTCTCCAGCATTTTTGTGGCTTTTCAGTTTCCTGAGCTGCGCTGCGAGGCCTCCGGGATGCCAGCAGCAGCAGCAGCAGCAGCAGCAGCAGCAGCAGCGTTCCGCGTGAGCTCGTCCCCTTCTTGGCGCTCCTTCCCTGAGACAGCTGCGGCCCTGTAGGCAGCAGGACTTCATCTGCGGAGGCAACCAGTGCGCAGCAGCAGCAGCAGCAGCAGCAGCAGCTGGTTTCTCGTTTTTGTCGTTGGTGTCTTGCCTTCTTCCGCGCGTCTGTCTCGTTTGCTGCTGCTGCTGCTGCTGCTGCTGCAGCGTCCTGCCCCTTCGTCTCTGCGCGCCGCCTGCACTGTTCCTTCGCCGCGCCCGCCGCCGCCGCCGCCGCTGCTGCTGCTGCTGCTGCTGCTGCTGCTGCTGGACCAATGGACCACACGCTGGTGTTCTATGTTGTAGCCAACGACGGAGACGATCTTGCTGCTCCCAACTGCTTCTTCTTGAGGGGCCCCCCGGGGGCCCCCCCGACGCTGCGGGACGTGAAGAGGCAGTTCCCCATTCCTGGCCGCTACCACTTCAGGTCCAAACCCTAAACCCTAAACCCTAAACCCTAAACCCTAGACCGTACGCCGAGGGTTTGAGGGCCTGCGTCCAAACCCTGGGCTCGGGCTCCAGTCCGCGGCCCTAAACCCTTCTGCTGCTCGCTGAACCCTAGAAACACCCCGCAGACCCTAAACCCTAGCCCGCAAACCCTAAACCCTAAACCCTAAAATGGGGACCTTCTTCTGCCTCCTAATCTCCTTCAAGGCTACTCTTAAGTTTTCTTTTTTCCTTTTTCTTTTCATCTCTTTCTGCTTTGCGTGTCTTGGTCTCTTCTTTTGTCTTTTCTTTATTTCTTTTTTATTTCTTTTTATTTCCTTTTTATTTTTTTAAATCTCTTTTTGTCTTTTTTCCTTTTTTGTCTCCACTTCTGTTTCCTATTTTTTAATTTCTTTATCTCCTTCTTGTCTTTTTTCATTATTAGCTGCGGGCCCCTGCTGCTGCTCCTGCTGCTGCTGCTGCTCATCCTGCTGCTGCTGCTGCTAAGCTGCTGCCGCTGCTACTGCCGCTAACGTGCTACCGCTGCTTCTGCGGCTCGCCTGCCGCTGCTGCTTCCCCCTGCAGCTGCTGCTGCTCACCTGCTGCTGCACCTCACCTGCTGCTGCTGCTGCTGCTGCTGCTGCTGCTGCTGCAGGATAAAGACGGACGGGGGCGAGTTGGGGCTTTGTGGGGAGCAGCAATTGGCGCCGCTGCTGTGGGCAGACTTGCGGGACGAGGGGCAGCCGTTGGCAGCAGCAGCAGCAGCAGGGCCAATTTTCTTGAAGGTTTGTTTTTTTTAGTTTTTTCGGACGTTTTGGGATGTTTTTTTCCAGAATTTTCGGCAGCAGCCTCGGCGTTCTTTTCCGCTTTCTTTCAGCCTCTCTTTCGCCTTCTTTTGGCTTCTTTTTTCCACTTTTTCCCGCGATGTTTCGGCACTTTCTGCCTTTTTTCGCTCCCTTTTGGCTTCTTTTTCGTCCTTTTTTGCCTTCTTTTGAACTCTTTTGGTGCTTGTTTTCGCCTTTTTTTGGCCTCTTTTTGAGCCTTTTTTTTATTTCTAATGGATCTCTTTTAGAGCTCCTCTTTTTGATCTCTTCTACGGCTTCTTTTGGCCTGTTTCTGAACTCTTTTAGAGCTCCTTTTGGCCTCATTTTGAACTCTTTTAGTGCCTCTTTTGGCCTCTTTTTGAGCTCTTTTAAAGCCTCTTTCGGTTTCTTTTTGAGCTCTTTTAAAGCCTCTTTTGGCTTCATGTTGTGCTTCACTTGGCCTTTTTTGGGGCTTCTTTTGGCCCTCTTTTGATTTCCCCTTTGTCTCCTTTTTGCTTTTTTTTAATTTCTTTTTTCCTCTTTTTGGGCTCCTTTTTAGTTCTTTTAAAGCTCCTTTTTAGTTCGTTTTATGTCACTTTCTGAAGTTCCTTTTTGCCTCTTTTTAAGTCCCTTTTTGGTTCCTTTTAGGCTCCTTTTTAGTTCATTTTAAGTTCCTTTTTGCTTCCTTTTAAGTTCTTTTTAAATTCTTTTTTTCTTTAAGAATTCTCTTGAGTTCCTTTTCAGTTCTTTTGAAGCTCCTAAGTTTCCATTTTATCTTTTTTTATCTTTTGAAACTTCTTTTGAACTTTTTTTTGAATCTATTTGGTCTTTGTTTGCTTCGGTTGTCTAAGGGTCATGAGCTACATGTGCTGCTGCTGCTGTGCTGCTGCTGCTGTGCTGCTGCTGCTGCTGCTGTGCTGCTGCTGCTGCTGCTTCTGTGCTGCTGCTCTTGCTGCTGCTGCTGTTTCGCTGCTGCAGGCCGTGCGGCTCTCGTGGACAGGCGACACAGCAGCACCGGCAGCAACTGCAGCACCAGCTGCCGCAGCTGCTGTTCCTGCTGCTGGCCCTGCTGCTGCTGCTGCTGCAGCCCCCCACCAGTCGACCACTGGGGAATCCAGCAGCAGCAGCAGCAGCAACGGCAAAATGGACTATTGGGCGCAGCAGCAGCAGCAGCAGCAGCAAGGAGCACCCTTTGGGCTACCAGTGGCCACGTCGTCTCACCCAGATATGCTTTTCTTTGACGAGCCGCCGCAGCCAGGTATACCGGCTGCTGCTCCTGCTGCTCCTGCTGCTGCTCCTGCTGCTGCTCCTGCTGCTCGTGCTGCTGCTCCTGCTGTTACTGTTGTTGCTGCTGCTGCTGCTGTTGCTACTGCTGTCTTCGATGCTGCTTCTGTTGTTGTTACTGCTGCGGCTGCTGCGTGTTGCTGGTAGCTGCCGTTGCTGATGCTGCGCCGCTTCCTGCTTTGCTGCTGCGCTGCTTCCTGTTTGCTGCTGCGCTGCAGCTGCAGCGCCAGCCAGCGCGAAGAGGCAGCACGAGGGCATAGACCTCATGCTGTAGCTGAACCCCAAACCCCAGCGGCTGCTAAACCCTAAACCCTAGCAGCAAAACCCTAAACCCTAGCCGCCCGCCAGGGCTGGCTAAGCCCGTCAAGCCGCTGCAGCAAGAGGCAGCCGCTGCGGGGCCCAAGCTGCCGGCGCCAAGCTGCAGCAGCTAACCCTAAACCCTAGCGGCTTCAAACCCCAAACCCTAGCGGCTTCAAACCCTAAACCCTAGCTGCCTAAAACCCTAAACCCTAGCTGCTGCTCAGCCCGCGCAGCCGAGTAGGGCCGCCTGCTGCCGAGGCGCAGAAACGAATGAAGTTGGGTCGGTGACTTCAGTGCAGCACGCAGCTCAGCAGCAGCTGCTGCTGCAGCAGCAGCTGCTGCAGCAGCTGCAGCCACTACAGCAGCTGCAGCAGCTGCGGCTGGGTTGCGCGCGCACCTCGGTGCGGGCTTAAAACAGACGAATTGGGGTGTACGTACACCCCAGCCCCCGCCTCTGTCAGTCAAACATGCATTTGGTTAGAATAAACTGCGTCTGCTGCACAGTTTAGGGTACCTGGGGGGCCCCCGGGGGCCCCCTGCGCGCTGGGGGCCCCCCAGGTGTCCCCGGGGGCCCCTGGGGGGCCCCCCCTAGGGTCTAGAGAGTGCATTCGCGGGCAAGGGGGCCCCCGCAGACCCCTCAAGGGCACTTTGGGGGGCTTGAGCTGCGTCATGAGGGGCTGTACGTACACCAGGAGCAGCGGGGCGCAGCAGCAGCTAGCCACCACTGCAGCAGCAACGACGATCATATTAGCTAAACAGAAAACTCTAAATGCGTCACTCTTGGCGAAAAAAAGCAAACAAATCCCTGAAAAAGAAACCACTCGCACACACCACCTCGGCCTGAGCTTCGGTGTACGTACACCTCGCTCCTGCGCCCCCCTGTGCTGCTCACAACGAGGTGTACGTACACCACACTGCGTGTGGGGCGCAGCTAGCTGCAGCAGCAAAGGGGCAGTTCAACCTTGTCTGAAGTGCTCTTGGCGGCCCCCATGCTGCAGCTAGCTGTGTGTGGCGTGTAGGTACACCCGCGTGGGGTGTACATGCAGCTGTGTGGGGTGTGTGTGCAGCTTTGTGGGGCGCGAAACTGCAGCTGAATGGGGTGTATGCGCACCTGTGTGGGGTGTCTAGCAGCAGCAGTGTGGGGTGTCTAGCAGCAGCAGTGTGGGGTGTCCAGAAGCAGCAGTGTGGGGTGTCCAGCAGCAGCAGTGTGGGGTCTAGCAGCAGCAGTGTGGGGCGTTTAGCTGCAGCAGTGCGGGGCGTTTCGCTGCAGCAGTGTGGGATTTCGCTGCAGCAGAGGGGTGTTTAGCTGCTGGGGTGTACGTACACCCGAGAGCCCGCAGCAGCGCCCACCTAGCAGTGTCGAGACAGCCGAAGTGCAAATGGCTGGAGCTGCTTCTCGCGAAGCCAAAAAGGCCAAAAGAGGCCCCTGGTGCTTTTGGCGGTGAAGTCCGGCCAGCAGCACTTCCACAGTTGCTGCTGTGGGGCTGCTGCGCACGACGCAGCAGTCGCTTGGCTCGCCGCAGCTCGCGCACGCCTCCTGCTGCTGCTGCTGCTGCTGCTGCCAGCGCGCGGACGCAGGCGCCGCAGCCAAAGACACTGGAAGCCCCGAGGGCCGCGGGGAAACCCCGAGGCCTCTTGCTGCTCTGTAGATCTCAGTTCCTGTGCTTAGCGGAGAAGCCAGCTCCTGCTGCTGCTGCTGCTGCTGCAGCTGCTGCTGCTGGTGCTGCTGCATCAGCGAGGACAGCAGCGAGAGCGAGGGAAGCGGCGCAGAGGCAAACAGCGGGGCCGCACGCAGGTGTACATACACCACAAGAGTTGTGTACTCCACTGTCAAGGCGCCGCTCGCAAACAGAGCCTGCATGCATGCAGTGTACGTACACCTCGGCGCCTCACAGCACTCCCCGCGGCCCCACCAGCTAGCTAGTAAGTGGCTAGCTGGCTAGCTCGCTGGCCAGCCGTGGCTGGCTAGCTGGGGGCTATCTGGCTAGCTTGCTCGCTGGTGGCTAGCTGGCTAGCTGGCTAGCTGGCTGGCTGGTGGCTAGCTGGTGAGCTGGGGAACGGTGAGGCGCCAGCTAGTGGGCATCTGCCTGGTCAGCTAGCTAGCTACTCAGCAGCTAGCTAGCTAGCTAGCTAGCCAGCTAGCTAGCTGGGCCTGTGGCTAGCCTTTTGCCCCGAGTCAGCCCGCTCGCCACTGGTGGGCAGCAGCTCGCCAGCTAGCTAGCCACCGCTCGCCAGCCACCGCTAGCCAGCCACAGCTAGCCAGCCACAGCTAGCCAGCCACAGCTAACGACAGCTAGCTAACGACACCTAGCTAGCCACAGCTAGCCAGCCACAGCTAACGACAGCTAGCTAACGACAGCTAGCTAGCCACAGCTAGCCAGCTAGCCACTGCTAGCTAGCTAGCCACAGCTAGCCAGCTAGCCACTGCTAGCTAGCTAGCCACAGCTAGCCAGCTAGGCACTGCTAGCTAGCTAGCCACAGCTCGCTGCGGAGTGAGGAGGAGCTGGGTCCGCTGCTTACCATGAGGGTGACGACGTCGAAAGGAATGCTGCAGAGGCTTAAGAGGCCGCCCACAAAAAGGGCCTGCAGCAGCAGCAGCGCAGCAACAACTGCAGCACCAACGGGAGACAAAAGGAAAGACAGCAGCAGGAAAAGACTGGCAGCAACCAGCAGCACTTGCGAATACACCGCAGGCAGGATCCAGCTGTCTCTGCAGCAGCCGCAACACCCCACAGAACTCAGGTGTATAGACACCGCAGCTCGACGCAGCCAAAAAGTACGCAGCTGCCCTTCCCTGCTGCTGCCAGCTCTGCAGCAGCAGCAGCAGCACTGAAAGCTGCTGGTGCTGCTGCTGCTGCTGGTGAATGCGCTCATTTGTGGAGACCAAAAATAGATATTTAAATGGTAAATTGTGATTAAATTGTCTATTTAAATTACAATTTATTATTTAAATTGTAATTTGAAAACTTCAATCGCCACCTGCCTGTACACATCCTCCATCCACGCCGCGTGTAGATACACCCCACCCGCTGGGAAGTGCTTTTGCTCCAGCGCCCGCAGCTGCTGCAGCACGACATCGTTGCTGCGCCTGCTGCTGCTGCTGCTGCTGCCGCTGCTGCTGCTTGGTCTGCTGCTGCTGTTCAAGGGGTCCACGCGCAAGAACATAGTTATGCGGGAGGTCAAAATGCGGCGGCCATCCCCAGAGAACTGCAGAACTACGCAGACGCGGCGCAGCTGTCTTACCCCCAAACCCCACTAAACCCTAAACCCTAAACCCTAAACTTGAGCTCTAATCCCCTGTCTTTCTCTGCTGCAGCGGAGGCTCCCGCACGGGCCATTCTCAGGTGTATGTACACTCAGTGCTCGCAGCAGCAGCAGCAGGTCTACATACACCCCGCAGCAGCGGGGCAGCTCTCTGTCGCTGCAAGCCCTCAAGGCTTGTGGGGTGTGCGCAGCAGCAGGTGTACATACACCTGCTGCTGCGGACCCCACAGCAGCAAAGGAGCAGCTGTCTGCGGCTGCGGGCCTTGTGGGGTGTGGGAAGCAGCAGGTGTACATACACCCCGGAGGACAGCAGCAGCTTCTTACTTTGATGAAAGAGCCATCGTAAAGTGTGGGGGTGACATTGTGCAGCCAGGGGGCCTTTTGCTGCGCCTCTGCTGCAGTGTCGCCCTGCTGCAGGCTGCTGCTGCTGCAGAGGGTCTCGTGGCCGTCGCTGCACCACCGCCGCAGCTGCAGCGCGAAAGCCTCAGCAGACTGCCACGGGAAAGGCCGAGCAGCAGCAGAAGGGCAAGCTGCTGCAGGCGGCGCCAGCAGCGGCCCAGCTGTACGTACACCCAACCGCCCCACACTTCCAGCCCCCTTAGCCCCCCAAGCAGCAGCACCAGCAGCAGCAGCATCGGCAGCAGCAGAGAGGCCGGCAGCGGCAGCAGCAGCAGCAGCAAGACAAACAGACACGCGCGCATGCAGCAAAGGCTCCAGATGGACGCCAGTGCAGCCGAAGCAGCAGCCGCGGCAGCAGCAGCCGCAGCAGCAGCAGCCGCAGCAGCAGCAGCCGTAGCCACAGCAGCCGCAGCACCCGCAAGGCCAATCCACGTACAGCACATACACTTATTCTATATATATATATTTATTTATTTATATATTTATATATATATTTATATACAATATATACAAAGCAAACATATATATAGGTGTATAGATTCTGCAAAGAGAGCCAATGCAGCCCAGCAGCAGCAGACACAAAACCATTGCAGCAAAGTGCAGCCACCAGAGGAGCTCCAGCGCTCGCAGGACTGCAGCAACAGCAGACCCACGGAAACTGCTGCTGCAGCTGCTGCAGCTGCTGCAGCAGAGAGGCAGTAATTTAAGGCATGAGACATGGCAAAGAGAGACACAAAAGCTGCTTCTCACTTGTTGCGGTTCCGTTCGTGTGCAGCTCGATGTCCGACACCCAAGAGAGCAATGGCCCCTGAGCACAGCAGTCGCAGCAGCAGCAGCAGCAGCAGATGACTTCGCACCAGGAGTAGAAGCAGCAGCAAAGGCGCCCTCAGCAACAATGGCAGCAGCAGCAGCAACAGAGGCCCCTCCAGGACCACCACCAGCACTACCACCAGCAAACGCACAAGCAGCAACAAGCACAGCAGCAACAAAAGCGAGTTTAGTGGCAGCAGCAACAGCAGCAGCAGCAGCAAACACATCAGCGACGCATGGCTTTTTCAGGCCAGCCGCAGCACTCTCTGGTATCGGAGCCGTTTGCAGCAGAAGACACGCCCTCAGCAGCAGCAGCTGCTGCTGCAGCTGCTGCTAGCCCTACGATCCCCGCTGCAGCGACTGCTGCAGCCGCTGCAGCTGCTGTAGCTGCTGCTGCGGCTGCTGCAGCTGCTGCTGCTGCAGCTGCTTCTTCTTCAGCAAAGCAGTGCTCACCGTTGCCTCTGGAAGCCTCATAATGTCGTCTACTAAATGGTTGACTCTGTCCCGCATTGCTGCTTCGTTCAGGTGTACAGACACCTCAGGTCGCAGCACCAGGTGCAGCGGGAGAGGTGCTGCTCCCCCCCAAGATTGCTGCTGCTGCACTGCCCCTATGAAACCCCGCAGCAAAGAGGCGGGCGGCAAGTAGCGCAGCAAATCGAACTCCGGCTGCAGCAGCACCAGCTCGCTGTAGCTCTTCACAGACAGCACGCACAGAATCCCCAGCAGCAGCAGCCTGCAGCAGCAGCAGCAGCAGCAGCAGCAGCAGAAACGCCACACACAGCATCTCCTGAAAGCCCACTGCAGCTGCGCAGAGCCAAACTGCGTCGAGTGCGAGGCAGTAGAAAGAGCTCGAGGAGACTACAGCAGCAGCAGCAGCTGCTGCTGCTGCCGCAACAACAGCTGCAACAGCAGCAACTGCAACAACTGCAACGCCAGCAGCATGCTTCAATAGCCGAAGCAGCAGCACTGCCAGTGACAGCACACTGAGCAGCACTGTCACGAAATGATGTAAATGCTGCAGCGAATGAAGCAGCAGCAACGACAGTAGCAACTGCAGCAGCAGCAGCAAGAGGAGCAGCAGCAAACCTGTATGTCTTATGGCAGAGCAATCGACCCCAAAAGGACTGCCGCATTTCGGCTAGGGAGCGACGGAGCTGTTGAGACACCCGAATTGCTGCACACCTCATTGCGCACAGCTGGCTCTGCCTCCTCGCTGCTGCTGCTGCTGCTGCTGCTGGCCCTGTTGCTGCTTCTGCAGCGAAGGAAGAAGCTGCCGCGCCAACCGAAGAAACAGGGGAAGCCCATGCTGCTGCCATTGTGCTGCTGCTGCTGCTCGTGGGGCTGCTGCTGCCCCGCAGAGCCAAATCGGAGCTACGCGATGGACCTGACCAAACCAGCATCTCGCCTTCGAAATGCTGCTGCTGCTGCTGCTGTTGCTGCTGCTGCTTCTGCCGCGGTTGCTGCTCGAGCTGCAGCTCCACGCAGTCCTGCTGCAGCACATCCTCGCCGGGAGCAAAGTTAATTGAGCCATTCAGCTGCAGCTCCTGCTGCTGCTGCTGCCCCGATTCGCTGCTGCTGCCGAACGTAGGGCTGGACTCAGCTGCAGGGAAATCGTTCGAGGCCACACCGTCTCCAGCAGCAGCAGCAGCTGCTGCTGGTGCTGCATATGGGCCTCGTGAACGGCCCTCTGCATTCGTTTCCGGGTGTTGGAGCTGTCGCTGCTGCAGGCGCAGCTGCTGCTGCTGCTGCTGCAGCTGCTGCAGCTCCTCCGCCTTACTGGGTTTCGCATCCACTCGGTCTTTGTCGGCAGCAGCAGCAGCAGCACCATTCGGTGCTGCTGGTGACGGCAGAGCTGCTGCAGCTGCAGCTGCAGCGCTGCCGCTGCTGCGCTGCAGAGGCGAGCGGGGTGGAACCACCGGCAGCAAATGGGGACTGTAAATAACTAAAAGAAAGGGACAAAAGAAATAAATATAAAAGAAAAGAAGAAAAAGAAGACAACAAGCAGCAGAATGGCAATAAGAGGAAACAGCAGGAATGTCGAAAGTGCCCATTGCCACGAGGCAGCAAATCCCAGCAGCAGTTGTCACGCTGCTGCTGCAGATGCAGCCCGCGAGGGTTTCTTCTAGCTGCTGCTGCTGCCGCTCCGCCTCATCCACGAGACTCCAAGTTTGCTGCGCCTCCCAGCCAGCTTCGCTCACGCTGCTGCTGCTGGTCCTGCTGCTGTCGCTGCCGCCGCTGCTGCTGCTGCGGCGGCTGCTGCTGCCCAGCAGCAGCGCCGGCTCGTCCACGCCTCTGCTGCTGCGGCCCTGCAGCGACTCGCGCAGCAGCCGGCCCGTCCGGTGTGGCCGCAGTTTCTGCTGCTGCTGCAGCAGCAGCTGCTGCTGCTGCTGCTGCGCTGCAGAGACGCGCTTCAGCCCCGCAGCCAAGCAGCGCAGCGTGTGCGCAGCCTGGTGCACTGCGAGCCCCAGCAGCAAGTGCAGCACGAGCAGCAGCAGCGGGGTCACTGCTACCCGCAGCACCAAGTGACACAGCAGCAGTCCGCCAGCAGCAGCAAATGCAGCAAGACACACCACCGCCCCCAGGAGCAGCGCCTTCTGGCGCAGCTGGAAGACAGGCGAAGGCGGGGCCGCCAGGTGTACAGACACCGCGAAGTACAGCAGCAGCAGCGGCAGCGTCAGCAGCAGCAAATGAACTTCTCCGTTGACAAGCGAGAAGGCCTCGTCTGCCTCGAGGGACTCGTTATGGACCCACACGTCCCAGTCCGTTGCTGCTGCTGCCGGTGCAGCAGCAGCAGCAGCTGCAGGTCCAGCAGCAGCAGGTCCAGCAGCAGCAGTCGCAGCCGCAGCAGAAGGCGCAGCATCAGCAGCGAGGAACTGTGCCTCCGAGCCACCTGGAATCGTCGGACCTTCCAGTTCCTGCGCGCGCTGCTGCTGTTGCAGCAGCCCCTGCTGCTGCTGCTGCTGCTGCTGCAGCCTGCGCCTCTGCTGCTGCTGCTTGAATCGGCGAATGAAAGCTGCTACTTCCCTCTCCCAGCCACGCCGTGTCTGCTGCGGCAGCCGCCGGGTGTCCAGCTCATAGG